TCACCCAATTCCTTGGGCAAGTCCTGTTTCTCAGGCCCACCTGATGGATGTGTGAGACTGACCAGGGTGTGACTAGGGTGTCTCACACAGGGAAGGGCCAGCTTGCCCGCCTCTAGGAGTGGGATATGAGGGGCTCTGAAGCAGAGGCTAAAGGCACATTTTGTCCCCTTGGGCCCTGCTGGTGCATTCTGGCTCAGGCCTTAGCCGTGGGAGGTTTCTCCTGGGATACCTGGTGCAGAGATGGGACTGATGGTGCAGCGCTGAGCATCCCAGGTCCAGGCAGCCCAAGAGGTCTTGTTGCTGGGCACAGAGAGATGTATTGCAGGCTGAGCCCACTGACTCCCTTGGCCAAGCGCCTGTGTTCCTGACAGTGCACCCAGAAAACCCCTGGGCCCAAGAGGCAGCATGGTTGCTATCGTGGCTGTATTCATTGCTCCGTAGATTGTCAGGCGGGGAAGAATAACTTGTCCCAGCTGTTGTCTCAGCCATCAGTGCCCTCTCCCCAACCTCCTCGCCTTTGGACGGACCTCTACAGCCCCCAGAGCTGTCTTGCCCCTCCCTCCCTCAGCCTGCTCTAACCTGGAACCTTCCCTGGCGAACTCCTCATGGCCCTGTCTGTTAAGCCAGGCTCTCCAGGACTCCTAAGGCTCCAGCCTGTGTCTCCCTGCCCCATGCTTCCCTCCCAGTGTGCAGCTTGAATTGTCTACTGAGCTTCTGTGGCCTCTATAAACAAGACTTCCTGGGTCCTGGGTACTGGGAAGTTTCTTGCTTTTTATTTTTCTCATCCTATTTTTTTCTTTCTACTACTTTCTAAATGATTTTTTCTTACATATATGCTTTGATTGATTACCTTAATATTTTAGTGTGCATACTTAAAGTCTAGAAATACCTTTACCTCGAGGCAATACCAAATATATTGAACTAGTGGGGAGATACTATGAATTAACTTAACAACTAATATATACATTAAAAATTAAAAATATGTCCCCTTTCACTACTTAACTAATCTGTACATATCATGAAAGTGCTTACAACTGATAGAAGCTGTAACACAAATTGTTTATCCAATCATTCTGTCATCAGTTAAAGGAAGCTCCTGCCTGAGTCCTGATTTGACATGGGGAACCACATCAGATTCTTCTAACTTTCTCACCACACTTTAGACATTAGGTCCCTGGCACGCAGCATTGTCTGGGTTTCATCTGATGGCAGGTCTACCCACGTGGCCAGGAGTGGGGAGCCCGTGCTGCAGCCCTTGCTCACAACAGTGCTCTGTGTG